TGAGTCAAAGAGTGCTGGGCACGGTCTTCTGCGGAAGGAACCTGAGCAACAGGAGGAGCCAAAGGTGGGCGGCTCGTCTCGGCACGAAGAGTGTGATCAACCTGGTTCTCTCGAAGCAGCTCTGCCTCACGGATGTGGCGAACTAACCGTTCCCAACACTGGCTTTTGGGGCCGTTCTTGCCAAGGCCGAGGGACACGAGTGCAGCACGCATGACTCGCAACGAAGAATTGCGATCAATGACAACACCACTGACAGTCACCGTTTCAATTGCATCGCGCTCAGCCGGGGGCGCCTCACCGCCCTCTGGTGCCACTGGCGCGGCTTGATCATCCGACTGTCGTGGGTCAGGAGGCATCTCACCTGCACCACCGCCATCATCCTGCATTGCATCACTTGATGCCTCAGCAACAGGTGCAGGGGAATCAGTGGCGGCTGCTGACTCCTCGGGGGCATGTTCACGCACAACATCAGGTGTGGAAAAACCCATCTGGCGAGGGCTCAACATCTTATCATCATGAGCAATCGTGATTGTTTGCTCAACATCCTGATGCTCAAACGGCAAGGTCCGGTTGGCCAATGAAGCCACATCTTCGGCAAACTCGAGGAGACACCACTGTCCGGATCTACGCACAAGCGTTGTGCGATACCATAGCAACTCAGACAACGGCACAAGAGTCGTGTCGACAAAAGACGTGCCGAAGCTCAACAAAGCGTAGCACCTGTGGCCTATGCGCTGCCATCCGGAGGCATCGAGCCTGCGCAACGGATCTTCGAGAGTCACATGTTCAATGACACGAACGGCTGGGGGCTGCTCCTGGAGTACACACACGCTCCCTGATGCACACAGCGACTGCCGCTTCAGCTTAACAGGCTCTCGCACGTCGCCATTCGTCAACACGAAGCCGTCAGGGCTGTTGGAGGCAGGAACCACATAAAACCCAGCTTTGTAAAGCTTGCCAAGCGAGAGCAGCGGACAAGTGACCCCGCCAACAAGGAACCGTTCCTTAAATCTCAAAGACCCAATCTGAACCTCGGCAACGCGCACACCCTTGGACTTCAACAGACGACCAGAGGCATCAACGAACTTCTGAGTGGGAGGCCCAGCAGCTTCACCAACGGATGCATATGAATCTGGAAGTGCACTGATGTCGGCTCCTGAGTCCAAGATGATATCTTCAAGGTATGGCTCTACCACTGCTCGGACATGGCCAACAACGTCTGAGGCATGGGTCACCACGGGACCAGACACGACCTTGCACCTCTCTGCACAGACCTGACCTGGACCTGCATCACGCCTGGGATCTGCAACGGACTTGACTG